TGAGTTCAGGAAGAGGCTTTCTGAGGAAAGATGCGGAGCTGGGTGGGTGAAGAGCTCAGAGGAGGTCCTAATTCCGGGCAGTGAGAGGAGGTCCTGGGGCAGGAAAAGGTGGGAGGTGTGTGACTTGGTTGGCCTGCTTTAAGGAAGAAAAGCAGGCCTGAGTGGCGGAGGTGTGGATGAGAGTGACAGGAGATGAGGGAGTAGGGAGGAGGCAGAGAGCAGATCCTTTGAGGGGTGAATATGATAGAGCTGGCTCTATGGGTAGTGGGAGGACATTATTAGATCACAAGCAGGCCAACCAAGTCACACACCTCCCACCTTTTCCTGCCCCAGGACATCCTCTCACTGCCCAGAACAGGCCATACAGATTGTCTTGAGAGCCTTTAGCAGGGCTACCTTCCAAGTCAGGTTGGGTGTGACTGGAGAGCCTCTGGCGAAAGTAACATTTAAGCAAAAACCCATAATGGGCTGGGCACAGTGACTCATGTCTGTAATCCCAGCACTTGGGGAGGCCAAGAGGGATGGATAACTTGAGGTCAGGTGTTCGAGACCAGCTTGGCCAACATGGTGAAACTGCATCTCTACTAAAAATACAGAAATTAGTCATGCATGGTAGCATGGCCTGTAGTCCCAGCTACTTGGGAGGCTGAGGCAGGAGACTAACTTGAACCCGGGAGGTGGAGGTTGCAATGAGCCCAGATTGTGCCACTGCATTCCAGCCTGGGCGACAAAGACTCCGTCTCAAAAAAATGAAAAACAGAAAACCATAACAGTGGTTCTCAAAGTCTAGTCCCTAGACCAGCTGCATCAGCACCACCTGTGAATTTGTTAGAACTACAGATTCTAGTGCCCACCCCAGACATACTGAGTCCTCCACAGCACAGATTATGGAGCCTAACACGTGCTCCATCCGTGGCCTCCGAATTGCAAGCTGTTACGTTCCAGAGTGTGCCGCTGTGTTAAGATGCACAAAGTCGTGTCATGGGGACACACCCCAGCCAGTGGGTTGTGCCCACCCTGGCATGGAATGAGGACACGGCCCAGCTCACGTAGGTTTAGCTGATTTCAAGGTACCAGGGTAGAAACAGAAATGTGTCTGCACAGCTGTGCTGGGTGAAATTTCACACTTGGCAAGGTGTGAACAGAATTAACATTTGCTGGAGTAGGTTAGAACACTTTAGATTGGCTGAGTTAAAATCAGGCAAAGAAAAAAAACAAGGGAATGGGGAAAAGTAGGTGATCGTCAACCGCATTAACTCAAGCCCAGCTGCAGAGGATGTTACCAAATCCGCTAAGGAAACTCACCTGGGACTGAGAATAAACCTGACTTCTGCCCCTAGGGGTCCTTTTGAAAAGAAAGTTCTCTGCCTGAGAACAGTTGCTCCCAGGAAAGCGCCTCCTCCACAGTGCCTGCAGAGCATCAGGCCTCGACACTTTAATTGCTCCGATAGAAACAAGCTACTGGGGTTTTAATAAAAATAGAACTCAAATAGGCGTTGAGCCCCTATTTTTTGCAACCAGAGGCACTGCCGCAGTTTCAGTTCCATCAGTGCTAGCTAGGGGGGTCTTCTTCACACAGCGAGACCCTGGTGGGAATTAAATAAGGAAAACAAGCTTATGGAGTCGATATTTTGAGAGCTTCAACAAAAAGCAGCAAGCTCTGTTAACAACAGCCAGGTTTATCCTAGGTTTAGGGAAACATGGGTCAAGACACGTGCCCCAGATCACAGCAATAAAAGCTTGGTGGGGTGGGGAGGCCGGGGGTCTGGCTTCCCGGCACTGGAGTGGCTGCTCCTCAAGCTAATTTGAATCTTCAAAAAGTAAGTAAGACGCCTCTTTTTTTTGACCAGGCATGGTGGCTCACGCCTGTAATCCCAGCACTTTGGGAGGCCGAGGAGGGTGTGTCACCTGAGGTCAAGAGTTCAAGACCAGCCTGGCCAATATGGCATAACCCTATCTCTATTAAAAATACAAAAAGCAGGCGGGCATGGGGTACACACCTGTAATCCCAACTACTTAGGAGGCTGAGGCACGAGAATTACCTGAACCTGGGAGGCAGAGGCTGGAGTGAGCCAAGATTGCACCACTGCACTCCAGCCTCGGCGACAGAGGGAGACTCTCTCAAAAAGAAGTCTGTTTGGTCAATTTGTAGCTCCTCAGTCATTTCAGTTAGAATCATTTAGTGATTAGGGGTCTAGGCTCTGTGCTGGGAGCCTCTGGGTTCAAACCTCAGCTTTGCCATTTTAGAACCACGTAACAAGGGATATGGTGCTTAGCTCAGTGCCTCACTTTCCTCATCTGTAAAATACTAATTGATGACATAAATAATACATGGTAATGCATGGACAGACCTCTAAAAGATTCAAGTCCCCTCCACCATCACCTCCCACACCCACAGCCAGCTCCGGGTGCCTCCCCGGGAGGTAACTGCATCAACAAACAGATGGCCTCCCTCCAGCCCCTTTCAATGCCTGCATGCTCATATGTAGTCCTTCATGTAGGGTGGATCTTATATCTGTTCTGTGCCCTCCCTTTTTTACCTAATAATATCTCAGAGATCTATCTACCTTATTCTTGTTTAACAACTGCAAAGTTTTTCAGAGTAGGGAAATATCCTACTCTATTTAGCCACTCAACTTCTCTGAATAATTTGGGCTGTTTATAAATTTTCACAACGTTCCAGTGAATGTCCCAGGGCTTACACGCAGCCGCGTGTGCAAGGATTTCTGTAGTACAGACTTCTGGAAGTGGAATTGATGGAGCATAGAGTAGGTGATTAAAATTCTGGGCCGGGCCCGGTGACTCACACCTGTAATCCCAGCACTTTGGGAGGCCAAGGCGAGTGGATCGTGAGGTCAGGAGTTCAAGACCAGCATGGCAAAAATGGTGAAACACTGTCTCTACTAAAAATACAAAAATTAGCCAGGCATGGTGGCCCACCTGTAATCCCAGCTACTCGGGAGGCTGAGGCAGGAGAATTGCTTGAACCCCAGGTGGCAGAGGTTGCAGTGAGCTGAGATCATGCCACTGCACTCCAGCCTGGGTGACAGAGTGAGACTCCATCTCAAAAAAAGAAAAAGTTTAAAATTCTGATAGGGGGCCAGGTTCAGTGGCTCCTGCCTATAATACCAGCACTTTGGGAAGCTGCTAGAGTTTGAGAACAGCCTGGGCAACACAGCAAGACCCCCATCTCTTAACATTCTGATAGGGATTACCAAATTACCTGCCCAAAGTCTGCCTTTTTCTAAAACCAAAAAGTATGTCTAACTATAAAAGTGACATTCCTGTAAACATGTAACATCTAACGAATACAAACAAGACCAGAAAAGAAGTTTTAAAATGCCCATGATTTCACCACCTAGTAGTGGCAATATTAACATACATGTGAATTCGAGTCATTTTACCATGGGTATAGGTACATATACATTTTTAATGAAAATGTGGTCAGAACGCAGACTCTATTTAGTAACCTGCCTTTTGCAGTTAACTGTATATAAAAAAGCTCTTTCCAAGTCATTAAAGATTCTTGAATTTTGTTTTTATTTTTGTTAAGATGGGGTCTCACTGGGTTGACCAGGTTGGTCTTGAACTCCTGGCCTCAAGCAATCCTCTCACCTCAGCCTCCCAAAAAGCTGGGATTATAGGCAGGAGCCACTGCACCTGGCCTAAAGATTCATCTATAGTGCCATTCTAGAGTCTTAACACGGTTTAGGAGCAAGAAAAGAAAGCTTATGTGGAAGGAAGGAAGCTAAAACAAAATTTGTTTAAGACTAGGCTAAAAGCAGTGTTGACAATTCATGACTTTGTTTATGTAGGAAAATTATTCTATACCCCTGGCTCCTGGAGGTCTTTGAGAATCTGATAAAGCTGAGGCAGGTGGATCACATGAGTTCAGGAGTTTGAGACCAGCCTGGCCAACATGAGGAAACTTTGTCTGTACTAAAAATACAAAAATTAGCTGGGTGTGGTAGCAGCTGCCTGTGATTCCAGCTACTCAGGAGGCTGAGGCAGGAAAATTGCTTGAACCCGGGAGGCAGAAGTTGCAGTGAGCTGAGATCGTGGCCCCTGCACTCCAGCCTGGGCAACAGAGCAAGACTCTGTCTCAAAAAAAAGAAAAAAATCGAGTGCCGAGTCTTGAGTCAGACACAGGACACACAACTTTGAATCCTGGCTTCACTACATACTCTTCAAACCCTCTGCCTGTTTCCCCACTTGTAAAATACAGACAATCCGCAGGTTCTAGCATTGCTGTGAAGTTTAAATAAGTTCATACACATAAAATGTAAGCAACAGGGTCTCCACACAGGAAGTGGTAATTAAATGCCAGCTCCCATCATTTCCAGTGTTTTGCTCTTGTGACATCTCCAACCATATCTTTGCACACATCTGTGATTACTTCCACGGGATAAATTCCTACATGTAAAATAGCTGGAATCATGAGCATATTTATAAGATTTGGTTTTGTTTTTTTTTGTTTTGTTTTTATTTTGTTTTGTTTTGAGACAAAGTCTCACTCTGTTGCCCAGGCTGGAGTTCAGTGGCATGATCTTGGCTCACTGCAACCTCCACCTCCCAGGTTGAAGTGATTCTCCTGCTTCAGCCTCCCGAGTAGCTGGGATTACAGGCATGCACCACCATGCCCGGCTAATTTTTTGTATTTAGTAGAGGTGGGGTTTCACCATGTTGGCCAGGCTGGTCTCGAACTCCTGACCTCAGGTGATCCACCCACTTCAGCCTCCCTTAGTGCTGAGATTACAGGCGTGAGCCACCACACCTGGCCATGTTTATAAGATGTTGGACACATGATGCAAAACTCTTCTGTAAAGATTCAGATTCAATGATGGTTCTAGGACTGGTTTAACAATGGTAAAGAATGGACAAAAATCCTTGCCCTCCTGGAGTTTCCTTTCGAAAGGGAATAGACAGTTAAACTAAAGATCTATTAGGGGGAGAGCGGCGGGGCCGTGAGCGTGACTCGCCCGCTCCGCGCTGCTTCCCCCGCGCCGCCCGAGCAGCCATGTCCGAGGAGAAGCCCAAGGAGGGCGTGAAGACAGAGAACGACCACATCAAGCTGAAGGTGGCCGGGCGGGACGGCTCCGTGGTGCAGTTCAAGATCTAGAGGCACCCGCCGCTGAGCAAGCTGATGAAGGCCTACTGCGGGAGGCAGGGCTTGTCAATGAGACAGATTAGATTCAGGTTTGACGGGCAGCCAATCAATGAGACCGACACTCCAGCACAGCTGGAGATGGAGGACGAGGACACCATCGATGTGTTCCAGCAGCAGACAGGAGGTGCGCCGGAGAGCAGCCTGGCGGGGCATGGTTTCTAGAGGGCCGTCTCCAGCCTGGGCCGTCCGTCCTTGCATTGCTGTTGAATGGTGACCATGCCGACCACAAAGTCGTCTGTGAAAACTTGAGGACGTTCACCACAACGGTTTTCCTCTCCTTGATGTACTTCAAGTTCGACTCAAAACTCTATCTGCAGGGATGAATCTGTAACTGAAATCAGGCCAATCAGAATTGTTACCTTTGTTCAGGTAAAATGAGTTGCAAGGTATTTGGGGTTTGTTTTTGTTTTCCCCCTCTTGTAACTTTTTTTAACCCCAAAATTGTAGCCTGAATGTTTGCTTTCAGTCTGGCCAGGGATCCGACTCCCGAGCTGGTTGCCTCCTCTGCTCACTCCAGTCACATGGAGAATTGGTGTTTCCCGCAGTGGGGTGCGGCTGTCGGCCAGGTGCCAGGGGAAAGGTGGGTAGGGAGGACAGACTGTCATTTGTGGTTATAGGCACAGGTGATTAAAATACTAAATATTGTGAATTTAGGCTTTGTCAGTATATGGTAAAGTTTAAGGGAGAATACTGGAATGTTTTTTCAAAGGGTAAAAAATAACTGAGTCCTTTGATAATTTGGCCCCACAGGCTCGCTGGCCCTTGAGCATGTGACCTTGCAGTCTGAGGCCCAGGACCCACCCCCCTGCCACCCTCCCACCCCACTCCCTGCTCAGTACCTGGCATTGGCACACAGGCAAGAATTGGCACAACCAGAATTGGCTTTTTCTTCTTAATACTGAAGAAATTCCCACGTTTCTCATTTGGTATTGGTGTTGTGGCCTCAGATTTCTTCTAGTATTTGCTTCTGATGAATAATTATGGTCTATACATAAAAAAGTAAGATTAAGTATTGCTGAATTTGCAGTTACGTTGTTGTGTAAAAGAGCTTCCAAGTGTGGTTACAAATGAACCCATGGAATGATGACTTCACGTTCTTCTCGTGGGTTTGTGCTGTGCTGCTTTCTAAATATGTATTGAATTTATGCATTAGTCTGGTGATTTCAGTTCTGTGAAATATTTTGGGATCTATACCAATTAAACATTTTCATAGTTCAAAAAAAAAAAGATCTATTAGGAGGTAACAAGTGCTATGGAGGAAACTAAAGCAGGGATGGGCTTAGTAAGGCTGAGACAGGGTAGGGGCTGCAGTTCTACAGAGGGTGGTCGGGGGCTTCCCCGAGAAGGTGACGCTGGGGCACAAGGACTTGAAGGAGGGAGGGAAACATGCAGACACCTGAGGGGAGAGTGTTCCAGGCAGAGGGAATAGCATGTGCAAAGGTCCTGGGGCAAGAACTTGCCTGAGGGGATAGGAGGAGAAGAGGCTAGAGCAGTGAAGGGGTGGGGACATGTCATGGAAGGCCCAGCAGGTTGAATCAAGCTGTACTTTTGGAGAGTTTTTTTGTTGTTTGTTTGAGACAGAGTGTCGCTATGTTGCCGATACTGGAGGGCAGTGGCACAATCTCAGCTACTGTATCCTCCACCTTCCGGGTTCAAGCTTTTCTGGTGCCTCAGCCTTCCGAGTAGCTGGGACTTAAAGGCATGCACCACTACACGCAGCTAATTTTTGTATTTTGGGTAAAGACAGGGTTTCACCCTGTTAGCCAGGCTGGTCTCGAACTCCCAGCCTCAAATGATCTGCCCTCCTCGGCCTCCCAAAGTCTGGAAGGGAGCAGTGTTAATTTCATACCACTGTAGCTCTAGGAAGGGTGAAGTAGGCATTCAAAGAGACAATGAGGACAAATCAAAATTATGTTTTCCTGTTTGAACTTATGCTTAAGAGCACTAAAAGGAAGTTACAACTCTCATTATTTCCCAAGAAAATCAGAGGTTCCTTGTTTTCTCAGTCAAACATGCAAATATTTCAGATACTCAAGTCCAGATACTTTTTTTCCTAGAACAGTTAAGAACCTAGGGTAAAATGAACCAAAATCACAGGGCCCAGGATAGAGGGTCCCTGTGCCCAAGGTCTCATCCCACCTCTTCCTCACACATGTCCTGCCACAAAGCCTCAGTCTCAGAGACACCTGCAGAGGGCAGAAAGGCCAGCTCAGAGATTACAGTTCAGGGTGAGGTAGCATCGAACCACAGATTCATCTTGGGGACCACTGCGGCTGAATAAGTGAGCTGGAATGTCCACTCACTTCCCCAAACTGCAGATTTTGTGCCTCGAAGAGACTAGGACATTCCAGGGGCTTGGGAAGGACTAGAGTTTGAGCTGAAATTGTTATAAATGAGGGGAGGGCCAGGCACGGTGGCTCATGCCTGTAATTCCAGCACTTTGGGAGGCTGAGGTGGGCGGATCACTTAAGTCAGGAGTTTGATACCAGCCTGGCCAACATGGTGAAACCCCGTCTCTACGAAAATATAAAATTTAGCCAGGTGTGATGGCCAGCACCTGTAATCCTAGCTACTTGAGAGGCTGAGACAGGAGAATTGCTTGAACCCTAGAGGCGGAGGTTGCAGTGACACAAGACCACACCACTGAACTCCAGCCTGGGCAACAGAATGATACTCTGTCTCAGATGAAAAAAAGGGTGGGATGGGAAGTGATTATTGGTATAGTATTGAGGCATTGAGGCTGGTGCTGTGGTTGCAGCTACTCAGAAGGCTGGGGTGGGAGGATCACTTGAGCTCAGAAGGATGAGGCTGCAGTGAGCCATGATCGCGCCACTGCTGTCCAGTCTGGATAACAGAATGAGACCCTGTCTCCAAAGAAAAAAAAAAAATTAAGGCTGGTGAGTGTGCCTGATGGCTTATGGGGTCAAAGATGCGTCCTGGCTTGATGAAGTGGCTTCTCTACCTTTACCAGTGCTTCCATTTGTTGCTTCACTTGTCGACAATACGTCACCGATCACCTACTGTGCACAGGCGCAGGGCCAGGTGCTCAAAGAGAGGATAGAAAGAAATATATCTGGAAGAGCTGCCAGTTCCTGCAGGGGAGGGAGGGACACTTTGCACCATGAGAGCCTTGGCAAAGTGCCGCACAAGCCTTCCCTTCTCCAAGTTCCCTTCACCAGCTCGTTCGTTTTCTCCTCCTTTCCTTCCCCCTTTTGTTTGTTTCCATTATCTCTCCTTCCTTTTCTCCCTCTCTTCTTCTTTCCTTCCTCCTTTCTCTTTTGCAGATGGTACAGCTTTATCATCAAGGAGTTAGAGTTCACATGATAATTTGTCTTGATAACTGTACCTTAGTTCATTTTTATTTTTAGCAAAAATAACAAATTCTCATTGAAAAGATAAAACCATATGAAAACATCCAAATAAGCCTGGCAAATCCTCATGCCCTTCCTCTCCTGAGAATCACTGTTAACAACTTAGCATTTACTTTCCAGGGAAGCCTTTTTTTTTTCCATGAATACACATATTTCTGCATTCAGTTTTTAGAAAGGGAAAAGGAATTCTTCATGTTTAACTTACTGCTGGGTTTGCAGTTCCTGGCACGTAGTAGGCACTGAAAGTATTTCTTGAACAAATATATTATAAATTTCTGAAAATTATCTCTTATTCAAAAATACATCATGGGCTGGACACAGTGGCTCATACCTGTAATCCCAGCACTTTGGGAGGCTGAGGCAGGTGGATCATTTGAGGTCAGGAGTGTGAGATCAGCCTGGCCAATACGGTAAAACCCCATCTCTTCAGAAAAATATAAAAATTAGCCAGACGTGGTCGCATGATTCTGTAATCCCAGCTGCTCAGGAGGCTGAGGTGGGAGAATCACTTGAACCCAGGAGGCAGAGGTTGCAGTGAGCCAAGATCATGCCACTGCACTCCAGCCTGGGCAACAGAGTAAGACCCTGTCTCAAAAAAAAAAAAAAAAAAAAAGAACATCCTTCCATGTCATCTACCTCCATCTTTTTATGGCTGTGAAATACTCCATAGAATGGCTGGAGAACATGGACAGAACAATGGCCTCCGAAAGATGCCCACATGCTAATGCTCAGAACTCATGAATTTGTTACCTTGAATGACAAAAGAGACTTGCAAATGTGATTAAATTAAGGCTCTTGCAATAGGTGGGGGGAGGTCATCCTGGATTATGGGATAAGCCCATTATAATCATAAGGGTCCTTGTAAGAGACAGGCAAGAGAGTCGCAGAGCAGGCCAGGTGATGCAGAAGCAGAGGGGAAGAAGGAGAGGCAATGACAGAAGCAGAGGTCAGAGCAACGCCGTTGGAGGCCTCTAGAAGCTAGACAAGGCAGGAAATGAAGTCTCCCCTGTGGCCTCCGGGAGGAACGTGACCTTGCCAACCCATTGGACTTCTGTCATCCAGAACTGTGAGCTTATGACTTTGTGCTACTTGGGCTGCCCAGTTTGTTATTGTAATGTGTTATAGCCACGGTAAGATGCAAACTCAGCCAGAGACCTAGAAATGAAACTGCTGGCATCTTAGTCCATTCAGATTGCTAAGAAAAATACCATACCCTGGGTGGCTTATAAATAACACATTTATATTTGTCAGTTCTAGGGGCTGGGAAGTCCAAGATGAAGGCACCAGTAATTCCTTGTCTGGTGAGGGCCTGTTTCCTGGTTCATTGATGGGACCTTCTCACTGTATCCTCCCGTGGTGGAAGTGGTTAGTTAGGTCTCTGTGGTCTCCTTCATGAGGGCTCTGTCTCATCACCTCCCAAAGCACCCCACTTCCTAATACCATTGCTTTGCTGACACGAATTTGTCGTGGGAGCAGGGGAGGGGGGCATAAACCTTCAGACCAAAGCACTGGCTCAAAGACTAAATTCATTTTGTTATTCGTGCACCATCACTCGTACACACACAGTTTCCATCCCGGTCACTGCCCTCCAGCTGCTGTCTAGTATTTCTGTGGCCTTCTCAAAACGTCAATCCAGAACGACCCGCCTGACCGGGCATAGTAAGCATTCTGCTGGGCTTATCAGCCACCTTGGGAACTGTACATCTTCAGCTGCGCCCATTCAGCTAGAAATGACCTGAGCACTCAGTCTCCTTCAGTCCCGCCTCTGCTGTCCTGTCCTCGGGCCGTTGGTTTGTTTTTGACGTTGGGGCAGGACTTGATTTTTATCCCTCCCAAATTTCACAGTGTCTAAGTAAAAGGGGAGAGATGAGAATCTCCAGCAGCATTACTGACTAGTTCTTTGTCGCCATTTCATTTCCGTGAGTTTTTGGAGAATGGAAAGAGCAGGTGGATTTGGCCCTTAAACCTCAGAGAAGGAAAGAAAGTGAATAGAAACAATATCATAAATAAATAATAGAGAAAGTAAAAGCCTCCATATCAGAAATGGCTCAACCTCAGGGCTTTTAACACCTAAGAAGTGATATTTATTTTTTATTTTTCATTATTTTTTTGAAACAGTGTCTCACTCTGTCGCCTAGGCTGAAATGCAACGGCACGATCTGGCTCACCGCAGCCTTGGCCTCCCGGGCTCAAGTGATCCTCCCACCTTAGCCTCCCAAGTAGCTGGGACTACAGGCATACACCACCACACCCAGCTAATTTTTGTTGTTGTTGTTGAGACAGAGTTTTGCCATGTTTCCCAGGCTGGTCTCCAACTCCTGACCTCAAGCTGTCTGCCAGCCTCAGCCTCCCAAAGTGCTGGGATTACAGGTATGAGCCACCGCGCCAGGACTTCAACATATAATTTAGGGATGCAGTTCAATCTGTAGCAAGCACCTCCCACCAGGACAGAATGAAGCTGGTAACAAAGCCCCAGAGACACTAGTTCCCTTAGCCAGGTCCTGGTGATACTGCAGAGCACCTTGACAGGCAGCCTTGAAACTAGTATCCCTGCCCAGATGTTGGATGTGTGTGTAAGAGGAGAGGCTGTCCCTGAGTCAGAGCTTGCAGAAGAAGGGGCTGGTACAAGGTCCAGCCTCTCCTCAACTGTCCTGAGCACCCCCCACCACCGCCCCCCACCCCCGCCCAACTCAGCAAAACAGAAGCCCCAGAGTTCTTCAGCCACCTGCCCTAGGATCCAGCAAGCAATTGTCACAATTCACACTCCTTGCCATCTTTCCTCCCTCACTCCAAAAGGTTCACCAAAGCACTGCCCCCTACCCCACACATGGCTTTCCCTGAGAAGAGCTCTGGCTA